TATACTTTATTCGTTTATTTTGTGGCCATACCCAGCAGTGCTCAGGAATTAGCCCCTGTTTTGTGCACAGGACTTAGTTCTGGCTCTGTGTTTGATAAATTACTTTCTTTTGGCTCAGTCTCACTTGAAAAATTGTTTATTCTCTCTCTGAAAAATCCATATGTCCTAGGTCTTAAGGCTAAATTAAAATTCCATTTAAGAACTAACTATACCGACATGGGATTTCAGTCTTCATTAGAAGGAATTTTCTTGTTTGCCTTATTTTTTGACACCCTGGACTCCTGTTTTCAAAGCCTATCTGAGGGTTAGTGGTAATATATATATATATATATATATATATATATATGCAGCAATGCAATAGATTGCTGAGGTAATCTTTGAGATTAACAGAATATCCTTATTCTGTGAAGTATCTACAGAATCTGTTCCACAAAGTTAAAAAACTGTCTTGCCTAGATGGGTCTTAAGTCTCACAGCCCACCTGAGTAAATATATGAATCACTGTATATCCATCCCACTGTCAAGATAACCCTCTCTGTCCATTCCTTTACCCCCTCTTCACTTTACTTCCTATAATTATATGTTTAATAGAGTCTGAGTGCAAAAGTAACTGAAGTTATTTTTTAAGAATAATTACCAACAAATAACCTGGCAAGCTACCCATGATGTATTTGATATGCCAAACACAATAACAGTTGTCACAATGGAGACATTACTGGGCCCGCTCGAGCAAAATCGATGAACAACGGGAGGACAGTGACTTTTTTGGTAAACTTTTCCCCAAGTTTTTGGGGTCTGACTAGCCTCTTTTTTGAACAGTGCCTGGTATATTGTGGGGGTCTCAGTAGCTTATTGGATGAATGGATTTCCTGGTATAGTTGACATGGAGGGACGAGGAGAGGTCTGATTAGCTATCAACAAGGAGTAGCCTGCTGTGTAAGTTCGGATGGGGAAACAGGGGCCAGAGCAATAGTAAGTGGGTAGGGCGTTTGCCTTGCATTCAGCCAGCCCAGGATTGATTGATCCCAGGTACTCCATATGGTCCATGAGCGCAAAACTAGGAGTACCCCCCCACCCCAGGTATTGCCAGCTGTGACCCCAGAACCAAAACAAAACAAGATGTGAGGAACAAAGAGTGGGTATGAAATGTTACTTAGGCTATCTAAATATATTTAATCTATAATGGGTAAATACTTCTGCATGGTAGGAAGGCCATTTAATGAGCAATAACCCTCAACCCTGACTCCATGTAGCAATTATTTGTAATAGTTTAAAAAATATTTTTGATGCCTAGGTACCATTCATAGATCACATTAATCAAGATTGTAGAGGACCAGGGATGTAGTTAACTTAAATGGTAAACTATCTGCTTTACACAAGTGAGGCCCTGGGTTTGATCCTCAGCACCACCAAAGAAAAGAATCTAGGGTATCCTGCTTACTATATTTATAAAGTGCCCCAGTTTATTTGAAAGTATTTCCTAAGTTTAAAACCACAAAATTAAACATTGGCTAGTAAGTTTATAGTTTATTCTGTGACTACTAGGGGGGCTGGAGCGATAGCACAGCGGTAGGGCATTTGCCTTGCACGCAGCCAGCCCAGCTGAGCTGGGTTCGATTCTTCCGCTCCTCTCGGAGAGCCCGGCAAGCTATTGAGAGTATCTTGCCCGCATGGCAAAGCCTGGCAAGGTACCCATGACGTATTCAATATGCCAAACACAGTAACAAGTCTCATGATGGAGATGTTACTGGGCCCGCTCGAGGAAATCAATGAATAACGGGAGGACCGTGACCGTGACCGTGATTCATCCTTTCTTAAATTCTATTCAGTTTGTCAAATATCATGTTTAATTGTAACCTACTAGTAGCAGTGAAGTATCATGAGATAGAACAAATTAATATTTATGACTATATTTGATTATTCATTTATTCGTTAGACATATACTGAAAGCTATTTATGAACAAAAATCTTGCCCTCATGGAAAGTACAAACTGCTATAAAAGCCAGCTATCATCAAATAACCATAAGAAGAAATGTATGACATTGTGGGGAACAGAAGTTTCCAGAGCTAGTTTAACCTGAATTTGATTCATGGCTCATCCCACCCACATGACCTTAGGCATGTGACTTAATCTCACTATGTTTCCTTTTCCTTCCCTAAGAGAATGAGTATAATGATAGTATGTACCTGGACAGAAAGTTGTGAGGATATAATGGGTCAATGCATGCAAAGTACTAACACAAAAATGTGTTCAGTAAATTTCAACCAACTAAAACTATAATTACTTTTAAAATAGCATTTGCTTTAAGGAGAAATATAATGTGGCACAAAGGGACATGAATTACACCTACAACACGTATGGTCACGGTCCTCCCATTGTTCATCGATTTGCTCGAGCGGGCCCAGTAACATTGTGAGACTTGTTACTGTGTTTGGCATATTGAATATGTCACGGGAAGCTTGCCAGGCATTGCCATGCAGGCGAGATACTCTCAGTAGCTTGCCGGGCTCTCCGAGAGGGGTGGAGGAATCGAACTCAGGTCAGCCATGTTGGCTGTGTGTAAGGCAAACACCTTACCCGCTGTGCTATCGCTCCAGCCCACAACAGGTACAATCAAACACTTCCCTGAGAAATTTTTTCTTGTTTTTTAAATTTTTAAGTGACATTCTGGAGTTTATAGTGCTATTAATAGTGGTTTCTTATGCACATAATTCCACCATACCCATCAACAGTGTATGTAATGTCTCTCCCAAAGACCCCAAAACCCTACCTCCCAAGTAAGCCCCCCCAACTTAATTTTATAAACCAGTTCTTCCATTTTTTTGTCTTTGGACCTTTTATTTTTTGCTATCTTGCTGTGTATATTTATGTTCCTTATATGAGAGAAATCATTCTGACTAACTTCACTCAGCATGATATCCTCTAATTCCATTCATGTTGTTGCAAATTTTATGATTTAGTTTTCCATTGTGTGTACATATGTAACAAATATATATGTATATATATATATATAACAATTTCTTGATCCAATTCATCTGTAGTTGGGTATTTGGGTTAATTACATATCTTAGCTATTGTACTAAGTGTAGTGAAGAACATAGATGCATATATATCCTTTTGATATATATCAAAAATAGGTGTGCATATATTCATTTCAATTAAATTTTTTTAAGTTTGAGGGGTAGATTCCAAGAAATGGTATCACTGGAACATATGGTAGTTCTATTACTCCTTTTTTGATAGATTTCCATATTGCTTTCCATAAATGCTAAACCAGACAACATTCCCACCAACAATGAATGAGGGTTCCTGAGAATCTGATTTTTGAACTCGAGTTGAAGGATATGAAGGGCAAATTAGGAAAAATGGGTGGCTTTATAAGGGAGTATTCCAGGTAGGAATATATCCATGAGGGCATAAGAATTACAAAAGTATAAAGGGGTGATAGGAACAGAAATTGGAGCCAAGTTCAAGACATAGGCCTAGGCCAGGGTGATTAGAAGACAGAAAGTAAAGGGAAAAGTATAAACAGAGGAAGGTCCAGACATTCTCATGATTTATTACATGCATGTTAGTAAAACCCTGTTGTCAAATGTTATATTTGTAATGAATACCATTTATTTTAATTTTTGTGGGCGGGACTCACAAGCAGTGCTCAGGAGTCATGTGAGCCACTCTCAGCCATTAATTGGCTTGATGCAGTTCATTAATTGGCACCTACATCAAGCCATTAATTGGCTTGATGCAGTTCATTAATTGGCCCCTACATCAAGCCATTAATTGGCTTGATGCAGTTCATTAGTTGGCCCCTACTTCAATTCTTTGGCCCAGTAATGTGGATCTGCTTGGACTCAACTCTCAGCAGTGAGGAGATGCCAGAGACCATGGTGCTCAGAAGCTATCAGAGCCACATTCAATGGGTCATGTAGTATGTAGGACCAAATTTGGAAGCCAGAGCTTCCTCTAGGTCTTTGAGCTGTCTCCCAGGCATGAGGCATTTGGTTTTAAGTGTCTTAGGTTTAATCATATGAAATCACTATTTCTTGGTAGGGAATAAACAGTTGTATACTGCTTATGTCAATTTCGTATTTCATCCTTCACAGAATGATAGGATTATCACTCATTATTTTATATAAAAAAACAAAAGCTTGTCAGATACCATCTCTCTGAGCAGAGAAGGCTGTGCATTATCAAGGGTTTTCAGTACAAATGAAATTCAGAGACTGATACCATTTTAGAGAAATTGGTGGATTGATACCATTTTTAGAGGCAGTAACTGGGAGAGACAGTTGCTGACTAGTCCCATTCAGAAGTTAAGAGTGTCTGAGCTGTACAGCTGCGGATATTCTTCCCGGCCAGAATGTTAACTTTGACCCGAGATACACACACAAAGTCAAGAATGAATCTGTTTCTCACTGCCTAACTTTAAGAAGTAGGAGAACACTATGAGTTACATGGTTTACAAAATCTGAATTGAGTTGCCGTAATTGCTCAGTTTAAAGGTTTAAAGATTTAAACCAAAGGTTTAAAGTAGGTTAATGTGACTACTTATGACTAAAGAAACAGACAATTCACATTCTCTGAAATTTGAGAGTGAATTTATTCTTGTGGTTCACTCCAGAACGACCTATGGCAACACATTGAACTCGGAAAAGCAAGTGATGGAGATGTTCACTACTCACCATAATTTTTTGGAATCATTTTGAAAAAAAATCATATGTTCACTGATCTCAAGTTCTGAAAGTGAGAGACATTTGTTGCAGTTATGTGCCTATTTTTTTGTGGATTTAATACTCAAAGTCACAGATCTTTTCCCCAAATACTAAGACCTCTTGCCTTTCTTCTTTTTCATGACACTTTTCTCTCTGCAGAATTGTCAAATTGGAGCCATAATCAATATTTGAATTCCATTTCCCACTCACACAAATTGTTTTATAAACTACTTCTTTTATTTGCAGATACATAGTCTTTATTTTTTTTTATTTTGTTCCCTTCTAGTACAAAGCGTGTGGATAATTCCAACACAAGGCTTGTTGTCCAAATTGAAAAGGATCCAGGTAAGACTATATCTTTCTTCTCTGTACTTAAATATTTATTTATTAATGGAGATGTGTAGAAGAGTTCCTTAAATTTTAAAATTGGGAATTAAGTACTCATTCTTTTTAATGTATAGATGAAAAACATGTCTTCTTAAATATGCTAACTCTAAACATAATACTGTAATTACTGGTTTTGGCATATCAAATACACAACGGATAGTTTGTGAGGCTCTGTGGTGCAGGCGGAATACTCTAAGTAGCTTGCCAGGCTCTCCAAGAGGGATAGTGGCTTTTCGGGCAACTTCTAATCGCCCTTGTTCTCCCTTCCGAAATCTGACATGCCATTTTGTCAGTAAAGAAACAAACAGCACCCGGCCCAGACAAGGTCAGACCTGAACACCTGAAGAACCTGCCGTCAGGACTCATCACTATGCTGGCTCGGCTCTTCACATACTACCTGTCTGAATGCAAGGATCCGTCCCAATGGAAAATCAGCAGGACTGCACTACTGTTCAAGAAGGGAGACATCCATGACATTGGCAACTATCGCCCGATCTGCCTATTGTCTGTCATCTACAAGTTGTTCACTCGAGTCATCCTGAATAGGATTGGCAGAAAACTAGATGAAGGACAACCATGCGAGCAAGCTGGGTTCCGAAAAGGATTCAGCACCATCGACCATATCCACACGATAACCAAGCTCATTGAAGTTTCTTGGGAGTTCAAGCTGCCGCTTTGTCTAACGTTCATTGATTTAAAGAAGGCCTTTGATTCTGTTGAGACGGAAGCAGTCATTGAAGCCCTAGCCAATCAGGGCATTCAAACTCAATACATCAGGATCCTTCGTGAGCTATATTACAGATTCACTGCCAGGATCTCACCATTCTACAAAGAAGTGATCGTTGATGTCAAGAGAGGGGTTCAGCAGGGTGATACCATTTCACCGAAACTCTTCAGTGCCACCCTTGAGAACATCATGAGACGACTGGAATGGGAAGGAATGGGAGTGAAGATAGATGGTTGGCAACTACACCATCTCCGCTTTGCTGATGACATTGTTTTAATAACACCAAACATTAGCCAAGCGGCAAAAATGATGGCTGACTTCGACTGTGAGTGTGGAAAGGCCGGACTGCAGCTGAATCTAATGAAGACAATGTTTATGAGAAACAGCCTTGTTCCTGACACACCATTCACTCTCAACGGAATGACCATCTCTGAATGCAACAGTTATGTGTACCTAGGTCGAGAAGTCAACATAACAAATGACCTGGAACCTGAGCTGCACAGGAAGAAGAGAGCAGCTTGGATCGCCTTCAAGAGCATCCAATAAATAGCTAAGAGGACGAAGAACCTTCAGCTCTGGGCACATCTCTTTGATTCCACTGTTCTTCAGAGACCTGGGCCCTACGCAAACAGGATGAGAACGCTATCCGGGTCTCCCAAAGAGGAATTGAAAGAGCTGTGCTTGGAATATCACGTTTCACTCAAATGAGAGAAAGAATCCGGAGTTCCGACCTCAGTCAACGATCAAAAATCAGGGACACTGTCTCATTTGCCAAGGTGTCAAAAATCAGATGGGCTGGTCACGTAATGAGATTTAGAGACGACTGCTGGACTAGAGCTGTTACCGAGTGGATTCCACAGGATGTCAAAAGACCGCATGGCCGCCCACCTACCAGATGGTCAGACTTCTTCATCAAGGTCATGAATGATCAGTTTGACTGTTAATTCATATATTTCATTTGTATATAGTAAATGTTAAATGTACAACATTAGCCTTATTATTGATATTTTAACAAAATATTTGGAAACATCAGTATTATGATTTCCTTAAAGGTAATCTCAAGTTCCAAACCCAGAAGTCTTTTTTTTTTGAAAACTTGATATTGCCTCTTTTTTTAAAATTTTTTTAATGGATATTCCTTTTTATTTATTTTTTTGTTGTTTGTTTCTTTCTTTTTTTTTTTTTACAGTTGTAGATTTACAATTTTTTGTGCTTGGGTTTCGATTATACAATGATCAGATACCCATCCCTCCACCAGTGCCCATTTTCCACCACCATGGATAATATCCCCCCACCCCCATCCCCCCATCCCCCCCTATCTCTGTGACAGGGCAATTCCCTGTGTTCTCTCTCTCCTTTTGGGTGTTGTGGTCTGCAAAAGAGGCATTGACATTGAGTGGCAAACATGTTCAGTCCATAGTCTACTTTCGACATGCATCTCCCCTCCTGGGAGGATCCTCCGAACACCCTTTATTTGGTGCTCCCTTCTCTATCTGAACTGCCCTTTCCTCTAGGATACCCGGCTGGCCTCTAAGTTATGGAGTAATCCTCCTGGTGCTGATCTCAGCTATTCTTGGATATTAATCTCATACTTTGTTACTTTATATCCCCCAGGTGAATGCAATCTTTCTATGTCTATCCCTCTCTTTCTGACTCATTTCGCTTAGCATGATACTTTTCATATTGTACCACTTGTATGTGAATTTCATGACTTACTCTTTTCTAACAGCTACATAGTTCTCCATTGTGTAGATGTACCAAAGTTTCTTTAACCAGTCATCTGTTCTTGGGCATTCAGGTTTCTTCCAGTTTCTGGCTATTGTAAAGAGTGATGCAATGAACAAACAAGTGCAGATGTCACTTCAACTATACATTTTTGCCTCTTTCGGATATATTCCAAACCCAGAAGTCTTAAGAAATTTTGGTCAACAAACTCTGGGCAGATTTGCCTGTTATAAAATTATTTCCCTTTTTTATTTCTCATTTTAGCCACAATTTTTTTCTTCATAAGGTAAAGGTAAAGGCCCTCCCGTTGATCGTCGATTTGCTCGAGCGGGCCCAGTAACGTCTCCATTGGAGACTTTGTTGTTACTGTGTCTGGCATATCGAATACTCTCGGTAGCTTGCCGGGCTCTCCGAGAGGGGCGGAGGAATCGAACTCGGGTCGGCCATGTTGGCCGCTTGTAAGGCGAACGCCCTACCCGCTGTGCTATCGCTCCAGCCCTATTACTATAGATTTTTTCTTCATAACAGAGTGAAAACTATAACTGTTTTCTATTTTTATCTTCTTCACTCTCCTTTGCCAAAATTTTTGTCTAGGAACAATTATATCACGTCCATAATCTATATATGAGTTATATATATATGATTAATATGAAAATAAAGTTTTTCATTTTTATATGTCAGGCAGTGAGTTAGGTTTTTATGTTAAACTTAAATATTGCTAGAATTTGAAGCTAGAGGAGTACAAATATCTCAGATGTGATATCTCTATGACATTATAGGTCCAATGTTACTAAGTTTGTAGATAACTTCAAAATTTATTGTGTCTTTAATTATTAATAAGTGCTGTCTTATTTTTGTATAATTATATAAACATATGTTCAAATATATAGATATATACTTAAATAGTTGTACATAAAATAGATATTCCTTTAAGAGCTCCACTTTCAGTGTTTAAATTGTTTTATTTAAACATCAGTGTGAACAATTATGCAACAGTTCATTCTCTTGTTCAAATCTTTTCTATGAAATTGCTATTGACTCTAATTAGTGCCTCAGAATTCAGGCTAATTTATTCCAGAAAATGAATATAATGTCAGGTTAAGTAGGCTTAATTTTCAGAGAAGATTAAACATACTGATACATTATTAGGCTATATGACTTGACTCAGCTCACTGAACAGCTTATCTTTGTCCATTAATCATAATTAGGTTGGAAAGGTACTAAGTTCAATTCAGCTTTTATCTGTCATGAAATCCCAGAAATTATATTAATATTGCTATATTTTATATATTCTGCTAAGTAGAACACACAGGTGCATATGGGGCCTGTTTTCCCTTTTTGTTCCCCATTGATGCTCTGGTTTCTTGAGAGTACAGAGCAAGGGAGCTTCGTACAGATTTACAGATTTGTAGTTTTTATTTTGAATCTCCCTGTGTTTTTACCTCCCTGTGTTTCTATGTCCAATAGATATCCCCAACGAAATCCTTGAGTTTTGTTTTAGGTATTTGCTACTTTGGGAAGTTCAACACTTCTCTGACTTTCTTGGAGACATAATTTATTCCTCACAGAAAAGATAGTCCTAAAATTGAAGACAGAATGCAATCTTTTCTCACAGAGCCTTAGCTACCCAACTAAAGGACATAAATGAAAAGAATGTCTCAGTTCACCTAGACTTCTTTTTAAATGTTTTCTTTCTTATCAAAAAATATTCATTAAACAGAGGCAAGAGTTAGGGGAAAGAAAGTAAAGAACTTAGAGGAAATATACCATGAACACCAACTTCACATTGTGTCCTTCCATTGTAAAGTAGATATTCCATCATTCTATGTTTTTTTTCTATAATAGCCTTCCTTCACTTTTCCTTTGGCGTCTTCATTCACCCAATTAGAACACTATCACTGTTCTCCCATTGTTCATCGATTTGATCGAGCAGGCCCAGTAACATCTCCATCGTGAGGTACTGTGTTTGGCATATCAAATATGTCACAGGTAGCTTGCCAGGCTTGGCCATGAGGGCGAGATACTCTCGGTAGCTTGCTGGGCTCTCTGAGAGGGAAAGAGGAATTGAACCCGGGTTGGTCATGTTGGCCGCGTACAAGGCAAACGTCCTACTGCTGTGCTATAATATCTGAAAATACCAAGACCTTGGGCTGGAGCGATAGCACAGCCGTAGGACGTTTGCCTTGCATGCAGCCGACCTGACCAACCCGGTTCAATTCCTCCTCCCCTCTCGGAGAGCCTGGCAAGCTACCGAGAGTATCTCGCCAGCACAACAAAGCCTGGCAAGCTCCCCGTGACATATTCAATATGCTAAACACAGTAACAACAAGTTTCATGATGGAGACTTTACTGGGCCCGCTCGAATAAATCGATGAACAAAGGGAGGGCCGTGACCGTGACCAAGACCTGGCAAAGATGCAATAGGATTTTCCATCACTGTAAGTAAAAAATAAACAATTGCAGTCACTTTGGAGAAAAACATTCTTATTCCTCTTATTCTAAGGTATTCCCTCAATAGAAACAAAAGAATTTTCGGAAAATTTTGCTCAAGAATATTTTAGTTTACTTATTCATAATCACCAAATCAGAAAATAAACAAAATGTCCATCAACATGTAAACACATCAACATGTTAACAAGCTGTTGTACAAATGTACTCAACATAAAACAAATTGTCGATATATATAATGCTCCAGATTGAATCTTAAATTTGGTAGTGCTGATTATATACCTACATATTTTTTAAACATACTATATTGTGCCCCAAAAGGGTAAATTCTATTCTATACTGATTCAATGAATCTGTTTTCTAAAAATATATGATTTTTTAAAAAATATCATGGGATGGGATTCTGAGTGGTATGTAAGTCTTTTCTGAAGTGGCATTTGAGCTGAGATCTGAAGAAAAGTGGAGATAAGAATCTACAAAAGGATGAGAGGATTATGCATGCTTAAAAAAGCAGTATCCGAAAAGGTCCAGCATGTAAATGGGTGCATGCATCATTCAGTTGAATGTTCTGTACTGCTTCACATACAAGCTGCAGAGGGAGTTATTGTGAGATGGGGGTACAGATTGAATTCTGAAGCAGATCTCATTGTACTCTATCACTATATACCCTGGGTTCACTCAGGATAATAATTCTTTATACCTGTGAGTGGGACCCTATTCCTATAGCTGACGTTTAACATTTTTATCTCTATCTTAAAAGTTCTAAAAAAGTCACTATGGTTTTTAAGTAAAGGGATTGGATTAACCCTTAATTGCGCATTCAACCTTTCTATTAAAAAAAGCTTATTCCAGTTGTGTTCTATAGAATATTTTGGATAGCAGATCCCAGTAAGGATACATAGATAAATCATTGTTATTGTTCACTTAAGAAATAAAGTAGCTTGGGGCTGGAGCAATAGCACAGCGGGTAGGGCATTTGTCTTGCACACAGCCAACCGGGGTTCCATTCCCACCCTCCCATATGGTCTCCTATGCACTGCCAGGAGTAATTCCTGAGTTCATGAGCCAGGAGTAACCCCTGCACATCACCAGGTGTGACCCAAAAAGCAAAAAAAGAAAGAAAGTAGCTTGGAATAGAGTTGGGGTTGGTAGAAATGGAGAAAAGTGCAAAGATGAAAAAATATTTGAAGAAAACATAATTGTGAGGCATGAATATGAAAGTAGCAAGAAAAAGTTCTAAGTTGTGTTTGGTGAGGCTGTTCACTAAAGTTGGGAACAGACAAGGAAACATGACATGTACATGAAGTTTAAGAGCAATGTACACTTTACTTTTTGATAGGGGCCAGTCCCAACAATACTCTACACAGCAGTGTTCAGGGGCCATAGGGCTACATTGGAGAGCCATATTATTCCAGGTATCAAACTGAGGGCCTTGTACATGATATGCATGTACTTTACCACTTGAGCTATATCCTCAGGCTAGAAGTATATGCATATATATGTATATAATATATAGATATATAGTTAAATGCCAACTAAATGTACCAGTATAGAATTCAGACAGTACGTTAAACCTGGAGTTATAAATTTGAAAGACAAAGGAATTTAAACATTAATTCATCTACATTTATGTAGATGAAATGTTCTGAATATAGGCAAAACCCACGAAAATGGGCAAAAGCATCTGAAAAGCGTTAGTTACCCTTAAATTATCAAGAGCTCAGTTCCCTAGGTTTCAGCACATTGAAGATATTTCTTCAATATATTGATTCATTGATTGATGATCATATATTCACTGATTCACTGATCTCTCTTGTTCTGTGATTAGGAAATGATGACAACAATCTTAATTCTATCTTCTATGAACATTTGACAAGAGCCCTTCAGGAGTCCCTCTGTGGAGATTTGGTTCTTGGCCGATGGGGTAACTATAGCTCCGGTGACTGCTTTATTCTAGCTTCAGACTATCTCAATGCTTTTGTGCATCTGATTGAAATTGGCAATGGTCTCGTCACCTTTCAGCTTCGAGGATTAGAATTTCGAGGTAAGAATTTCTTCATTGTGGAAATTATTGTTGGAGCTTATTCTCAGGCCATTTTTTAAAATGAGAAGTAGCCATTGAAGAGGAAGAATTTAGTGTTCTGTAGATTAAGAATTATTGAGGAATCTTCCCAGTCCCCGAAAGAAAATGGTGGATGGAGGGGTCGGCCGGGAAGGGAGATGTGTGCTGAAAGTTGATAAAGGACTAAATGTGATGGCCTCCCAGTATCTGTATTGCAAGCCATAATGCGCTAAAGTAAAGAGAAAGTATGGGGGAAATCGTCTGCCATGGAGGCAGTGGGAGGGTGGGAAAGAGGGGTATACTGGGGCCATTGGTGGTGGGGAATGTACACTGGTGTAGGGATGGGTGTTTGAACATTGTATGATTGTAACTCTAACATGAAAGCTTGTAACTGTATCTCACGGTGATTCAATAAAAAAATAAAATAAATAAATAAAAAGAAAAAGAATTAGTGAGGAAGTAGAGGGAAAAAATAAGGAGTTTATTCCAGGTTAGGAACTGAGAAGTGCCAACTGAATGAATAGGGAGCAACTCAGAGCACTCCTGTCCCCAGGAGAACCAGAGCTAACTAGCTTGCTGGCACAGGATAAGGCTGGGGTCCTAGCCACATGGGTCCTCCTATCCAGAGTATAGTGGCTGCTTTTAATTCTCTGTATAATGTGGAATTATGTACAGGTTCTGGAAAGTGGGGTAACTGCGCTAATTTACAAAATCTTGAGAGATTTTTCTGGTAATTGTGTGGGAAATATGCTAGAGGAGGACAAAAGAAGAAACAGGAGGGCCATTTAGGAATATTTTGTATTCACCTAAGATGGAGAGAACTGTGGAAAAAGAGGGCTATAGAAATTTCAGTGTTGGAAAGAAAATTGTGTTTAGCAGTCAGGAAAGAGTGCCGTGCATCCGGGGGCTGGAGCAATAGCACAGCGGGAAGGGTGTTTACCTTGCATGCAGCAACCCGGGTTTGATTCCCAGCATCCCATATGGTCCTCCGAGCACCGCCAGGGGTAATTCCTGAGTGCAGAGCCAGGAGTAACCCCTGTGCATCGCTGGGTGTGAACCAAAAGGCAAAAAAAAAAAAAAAAAAAAAAAAAAGAAAGAAAAAGAAAAGAGTGCTGTGCATCCTCTGACTTCTACATTTAGGCCTATGGGAAGAGAGTCAATTTACTGAAACTGGGGAGCCCAGATGAGAAGCAAGACTCTGAAGTTTGGAAATATTCTCAAAAGCTCCATTTTGGATATTTTCATTTAAAATTCCCCTGAATTCTCAAAAAATTATATCAAATAACTAATAAGACATATGAGTCATACATTTAATCAGGGACATTTATTCAATACTGGTTATATATCTCTGCCCCCGTGCCTGGCTGTCCTCGCCGGGGCCCCTTGGAGGGGGGCGGTTGAGTTTCCCTCCCCGCCCCTACCAGAGCTCCGGCAGCTGAAGACCTCCCAGAACCAGCCACCACCATGCTGAGACCACTCTCCACACGCATGAAGGTACTGGCAGAGGAACAAAGGCATGCGGGTCCCGGGGCTGAGATCTCCAAGCCTGCTCGTATCGGGGCTGAGCATCCTCCACCCAGATCCTCCACTTTCCAGTAGGCAGGGGTCATACCCACCAACTGGCCCCCTGGCGCTGTGTAATCCCATCAACAGCCAAGATCCAGAGACTATAAAACCCAGCTCCCGGAAGTGCTCAGCCACATTTGCGGCCGCGGGACATCTTATTACTTTGGACAAACTGGTAGGCTACCGAATGTAACCTGCCCACACGGGAGAGTCTGGCAAACTCCCAGTGGCATACCCAATATGCCAAATACCAGTTAACAATGATGGGTCTCATTCTCCTAAGACTGAAAGAGCCTTGAATATGGCACTTTTTAAAAATCTCAGGGCTAGGATGAAGGGCCTGCTCGAGGCAATCAATGAACAACAGGATGGTTATATATCAAGCTCTTACTGGGTACCCTGAATATAGCAATGAAGGTCCCATGTTAAGGAGCTTGTAGTCTTGCTGAGCAGGTACACTCAGAGAAAGGAGTGGCCTGACAACACCGGGGTGGGGGGTTACCACGGGGACCCCCAAACAGGCACTGACACCATACTAGGGACTGGGTCAGCCAGATAGAAGCAATGAGAATTTCTAATCATTTATTTTACAAATATCTATTTCTTTGAATAACATTCTAAAAACATATATTTATAAGAAATATGCTTATTTTCTGTGAGGAGTAAATTTTTATTTAGATATGAATTCTGTGCATCTTTCAAATTTTAGATATCTATTTTAATTTAATTTTTAAATTAAAAAATATTATTAAAGGGTTGGAGCAATACTACAACTGGTAGGGTGTTTGCCTTGCACATGGTCAACTCAGGTTCGATCCTTAGCATCCCATATGGTTCTCCAAGCACTGCCAGGAGTGATAATTGTGTATTGAGTTAGAAGGAATGCCTAAGCATCACTGTGTGTGACTACTCAAACTCCAAAAAATAAGCAAAAAAAATTTTTAAAGATTTTGTGTGGTCATATCCTACAGGTAAGTCAGAATAATTTCCTGAAATTTTGAGCTAATACCAGGAGAGTCCACAGGAGGTGATGGAAGTTAAGTGTCCCCAGTGCAATAAAATTATCTATTTTGAACACTTTCAGTTTTTCCTATAATTCAAAGAAAGAACATTCCAAGTTAGCATAAATGATTTACAATTTCGAATATAGAGTATAAATTACTTAACTTTTGGATATTTTCAGTGCTCTGTTTACCAGCTCTTTCTGACATATTGGTACGTTTTTTGGGGGGAGGGTGTCACACCCAAAGATGCACAGGGGTTCCTACTGGCTTTGCCCTCAGAAATTACTCTTGATAGTGCTTGTAGGATCGTATGGGATGCTGGGGATCAAACCCAGGTTGGCCGCGTGCAAGGCAAAAGCCTTACCCGCCATGCTATTGCTCCAGCCCTGGGACATTTCTTTAACCTGCCACTTTCAATAAATTTGGTGCCACTTATTAATTATTTGGGGGTCATCATAACCCAGTCCCACAAAAATGAATGGCTAAGGAACTATAAGGATGTGCTCCTCCTCACTGTTGTGTGGATCGGGGTAGTACTGGTGCTCTCACTACAGGTTATTACACAGCTGCCTTAAATCTGCATACAAACAGAATGAAGAAAGGACAACATCAGGACCTAGCTACCAGGTCTGGAATTTTGGATATCCTGCAGGTGCCTCACAGTCTCAAAATAAAAAAACTGGACTGGACATCTTTAATACTTGTGATCTTGCTTCAAAAGGAAAAACACAGACACTGCATACTTCCAGAACAGACACTATATCATTAACATTACATTCTATTGGTCAAAGACATTCCCAAGGGCAGCTCAGATTCCAGCAGAAGAAAAACCAGTCCAGATACATTACACGACTCAGTGGCAGCCAGTGTTACAGGGACATGCCTGATTTCTGAAATTTTATATGAGAAATGGAGGGAGACTCAGATTTGTCTGAGTCTCAGATTTATTTAAGATTAGTTTAACGATAGAAGCAGTGGTGAGGGTTTCTCTAGATGATATTTTATTCTCTTGCCAACTACAACTGAAATTTAAACTGGCTGTAAGTGTGGTATAAGTACAATAACATCCAGTGCAGTTTATTTCTTTGTTTTCCTTTGTTTTTCCATAGTCCTTGGAGTTCTGTGGGTGCTGACAGTCGTGGTTTGAGTTCCTTATTATCTAAGTGCAGATCTGATTCCTTATTTTACACTATGGGGCTACTGTAAATGGTCTTTTATTCTAACTATTCTCATTACCCTATATTGTTATTTCAGTGGAATAGGAAAGTGTAGGTTCAAGTCTTCCTATTTTTACCAGGGATTTTATGGAAGTATTTTGTGACAAAATTAAGACCCTATAGTTGCCCATAAGCCCTTAGACTGTGCCTTACATTGTGTAGAATAGAGTAATAAAGCAGTTCTGGGTAATTACTGAGCCACTAGGGCTACTCAGATTAAGTAGAAGTAGTCTTAGCTGTGCGGGTCACAATGGTAGACATGGAAGTAAAGAGGGCACCAGAGTCAAGGGACTGAGAAAGATCTCCTGGAACTTTCTGGAGTAGAAAGGGTAAGATTTAAAGTTCCTTGGCACACCTGATTGAATTCAGAGATGGAATTGGCTGGTGTAGATCCCTCCAGCAGGCTGGATAGCAGATATTGCAGTAAAGGAAGTTCCTAATATTTGACTTCATATCTAAATCATGGTGACAGATAATGCAGTTTAGAAGGTTAGAAGTGTAAGGATTACAAAGTTCAACCTTTTTTTTCTTTTTTAAATAACTGCAATCTATGGGCCCCTATGTCCTATTTAATCGTCATTCTGGTATGGAAACACAGAAAAAAATGGAGGTGTGAGCTAATGATCGATTATTCACTAATTTCTCTTCTTTTGTCAGCCAGACTATCTAGGTTGATAGGTTAGCTTATTTCTATTAAAAATAGATAAAAATTATAATAGAAGTCATAGTGCTATCAGTAACAAGTCAGGTAACTTGAATATACTGTCTGGTAAGACAAAGAGCAAGAATTAGAGCCGAAAAGAAAAGATACTAGATGAATTTATTGGTAAGATGCATGTGAGTTTCAAGTAAATGAGAAAGCTTCTATCTGTGAAAGTGGCATCTGATATCCAGTAGCACATCATTTATTTCAATTTAATGGGAAAACTGAGACCCAAGACGAATTCATAATTCTAGTTCGAGGAGCAAGCTAAGCAAATCCCCATGACTCATTATTATCTACAACTTCTCTTTCTACCTGACCATTTTCCACCTTATTTTATTGTATTTGTTTTGTTAATCTTTTGAAATTTGTAACATCATTTTTAGTTAGTTTATCAAACACTAAGAATATGGGGTATAATATCATTTGCCACTTGCACTAACTGCACAGAGCTCCAGTTGGCTTTCCACTTGGTTTTCTAGTGGCAAAATC